ACCTCACCTACCTCACCAACAACACCTACCTCACCATCTACCTCACCTACCTCACCTACCTCACCATTCTTACCAGCCTTACCGACAACACTGACAACACCAACTTCATCAGCTATGGGTAAAGTCCAAATATCCCAAGTTGCTGAAGTCCTTGCAGGAGAACAAACTATCTCTATAGACTACAAGGTTGAACTAGAGGATCGATTAGTCCTAGCTTTCAGGTCGCCCCCAAAACGTTATGCAAAAGCAAACCCCCCTGCTACAGGTACCCAAATAAACGAACGTGGTTTCCGAAGAATGGCCTCCCGAGTCTATGGAAGGGTTTTACAGGAGAGACCTGACGAGCTTCTCTGCGTCATTCTAGCAACAACGCCGAGGGGGTGCGCGACTTTCAAGTTGAAAGAGTTCCTGGCACAGCCACCCAGGAAATTTGTGCCTCTCGATACTAGAGCTCGGCTCATTCTCGAGTCTATTGCTGTTAGTCAGCATTTTGATAAGGATCCAAAGTTCCAAGAGTGGCGGAACAGGCTTTTCCCGCCTCTTCTTGGAGCACCTACACACAAGCTAAAAGCTGCGAGAAAGAAAATCATCCACAAGTTTGGCCAAACAGTTTTCGACCAATTACGAGATCAAGATAACTCTGCTGAGAATACGGAATGTGTAAGGGCTCACGCCTATGCAAAGGATTTCAAGGATATTATTCTCTTCTTCGATCTTGTTCCATGTCCAGACCTAGTGGAGGTTCTATTCCCAGATAGTGCGTGTCAAGAGAAGCCAACTGGGAGTGACACAGATTTTGGTTAGTACACGCGTCGCAATGAGAATCGCATAATTAATTTCAAATAGATACATATAAGGAAGCATCTTGGCGAGGTGTTGAGACTACTTTTCCACCGCTTATTCTTCAGAACATGGAAGCAAGTCAGTTGCGTACGTGGGAGAAGAGCCATGGCATATATGATACTACTAACTGCGTTGAAATGAACGTAAAAAGGCAGAAGCCACGAGAGGTTACTATGTCCCTGCGTATTGCCTTCCTCCTAGGTATGGACTTAGTGAATGAAATGTTTAGATTAGATCCCTAAATGCACTACCCTTCTCTCCAGGTCCCATTGAGGAGAAATACACCGATATTTGCTGGCAGTGCAATCTCGCCGTCTCCTTTGGTTGTCCAGATGCTGTGGCCATTGATATCCTGAAAATCGATGATTTCACATCTCGAAAAGTAAAATTTCCTTGATGTTGGGCTGGCCTGGAAGTATTTGATTGTATCCCGTCTGCCATCTTTAAAGAAGTCCGCCGGCACTGTAAGGTTTTGCCACAGGCAACGCTGTGATGGTAAGCCTAGACTCTATGTATTGATTAAGGACATACCAAATTTGCTTCCGTTACTGCTTCACCTGCCATTTAGTGACGTTTGATCGAATATTGGAGAGCAAGGCCTAGAGTCCCTTTTTCAGTTGTTACTTCTATTTATTTTTGGGGAGGGTATAGCTGCGCACCTTGGGCAGATCTGATGGGTTTGTTACACGAAGTCGAGGCTCCGACTTTTACGAGATTTTAGTATCGAAGCCCAAATGCAACAAGGTCACGAGCAAAAGTGGGGCTTCTGTGGCGCAATGTGGCATCAACTGGTTGGTGCGCGCCTAGGCGCAGGTGGTATCTGATCATGGATCCTCGGAAGCAGAGACACAAATCTGCCCGTAGCGTAGCCACGTCGTTAAACCCAAGCAAATCCTGTTATTGCAGCCTGGCAGCCTAAACGATGTACTTTCCGCATTGACATATTGGTGAGCTTCGCACTTTACTTCGCCCGAACCAAATTCTCTATCTTCACACATCAAACTTCATTATCCTCCTTTCACCCATACACCTCAAGAACTCGGGCAGCTACAGCTCTCAGCATTACTTGCGCGCTCATGGTATGGATTGATGTTTAGCTGTAATCCCCGCTAACACTTTTCCTAGTCGTTAGTTGTTGAACCTTCCGACCCTCATGAATTTGAGGACACAATATCGAATACTCCACGATTAATCAAAGGCGAGGGCCAGATATTCCACTGGCAAATGTTTCGAGTGTCTAAAAAGCTCGGGGAAGGCTTAGGATGGGAGCTGGTAAAAGACTGTAAAGGGCGCACGGTTGAGGAGGGCTTCTCCTTATCACGGGCGAAGGTGGCCAAGTAGTGGAGATAATCAGAGGGTGAAATCCTTGATACGATGATATGCCACGGTGTTGGTCGCGTGATTATGAGGATAGGTGCAGTTACGGCCTTTGTTTGATCGAGAGTCTACGGACAACGATCTGAATCAGTCTTTCTAAAACAACCTAAGATCTGCCCTAATACTATGCCCTTGTTCCGTATCAATGGTTACATAGAGATAGCTTCTGTCTAACGAACTCAGTGGGATGTCGAATGATAGACAGCATGAACTCTTAATTCCATTTTCTTTTTCTTGCTTTCGCAAATCACTTTTCTCAATGGCATGATGAATGCGCTCGCCCAGATATTCGATTATGGTTGATTCCGTAGCACCTTGTACTTTGAGGAATGGAGTAGGAGTAACTCGCACGACATCGCTGACAGCCATGTAGTGACAGGAATCTTCGATTTCAATGTTCACACCAAACAAGCGATGAGCAAGCGACTGGGTATTGTGCGGGGCGATCACTATCTTTAGAATAGCGCTCATCTGATCTTCGAGATAAATTAATTCAATGTCAGCAAAGCCGCGTTCTCTTGACATCGCACGAATGAGCACCTGTGGGAACATGGTTGCAACTGCGTCGATGCTAGCTTTATTTCGGATCGGTGAGGGCTCAGAATTGCAGTGAGCAGCTTGATGCTCAAACACCGGTGTGGCGGATACGGTTGAATGGTGAGGCACGGTAAATCCGTTCTCTAGTGGCATGATAGGCTGGCCAATATTTGGGCTATTTAGTTCAGCCAGGCTGTTGTTTGCTTCCTGCATGGTCCCTAGATTGTGTCAAAGTCGAAAGATAAGTTGACTATGCGCATCTTACGAGGACGTTTCCGGCTCTCCATTACCATCATCTCCATGGCTTCTTTCACGGTCTTGTGGGGTAACACGCCAGTTAATCTTAACGCAATGTCTTTCTGAAATCCGGCGTCAGCCCCCTCCAGGTAAGTTATGGCGTGTCTGGGAGCGGTCGCGAGTCGCCAGCCAATATGCTAGCCAAGCCTGGCCAAGGGAACCTGGGGGCGATTTTTGGGCGTCGGAAAGATGTCTCTCTAGATTATAGCAGAACTTTCGCCGCATCCACGCTAAAGTAAGATAATCAGCAAGGCTCTGAAAGCAATGCTCATGCTTTCCGTAATCTCCAGTCAGCTGTATTGGTGGCATAGGCGAAATACCACAGAGCCGGTAAGAGAACCGGCGTGAGACTGGAAAAAGGTCAGCCTTGTGCTGAATCAAGTACCAATGTCCTTAGCATTGTCATTCTCACCGTTTTCCTAGGCTCTAGGCCTACCTATGCGCTGATGTTCCCCTTCTTACCCTAGATTTGGTGAAAGAACGTCTCGTCAATAGGTTGAAGTCCTGTACTCCAAGCCTAATAGTACCATCCAACTGAAACGAAATGTTGAGGATTACAAAGTAGAAGAAAAATCCCACTATAAGTAGTTGAGGGTCCAAATCTGCCCCCCACGAGACGAATATGGAGGAAGCTGAGCGTCCTGGGCGTGCCTTTCCAGATCGTCCCTTGTAGATCTTGGAGCGTATATCCATGTTCCACTCAAACTATCCGGCCCATCTCGAATTGCTTGTCAATCAATAAGCTGGCGCCTTCTTATTTGGGAAACAGGCTTCAATTGCACGAAGGATCATACAGGGATTAATCCAAAGGCCGCAAGGTTGAGAAGGTTGACGGCGTCGGTTAGCTAGATCGGATCGTTCCCGAGAAACTATTCTTGGCACCTTGGTCCCTTCCCAAAAGCGGGGTCAACCACGGCACCTAGCTCATGGTTTTCACGGACGAGACACGTCACATCCACGACTCAACCATGCCAATCAGCCCTAAAGCTACAAGGGAGACGGTGCAAGCATTAGCAGGATTCAATGACATCCAGATGGATCGGTTCTATGTATGTTCTCTAGGCAATTGTAAGACAGCAATCAGTAACAATCTTCGAGGTTGTTACTAAGGAGGTAGCTAAAAAACTTGTTCACGAAGACTTCACAATAACTTGGAAGCAAATGAAAGCGAATAGGAAGATAGAAGCTATACGCGGGATAGAGCTTCAATTGCTAGAAGATGATTTTCCTATGATCAGTGAAAAGACTTTTAGTGAGATTGTAAATTGGCGCATGACGCGTGTAGTGGATACTCAGCGAAAATGTAAGTCCGACGCTGTGTTGCTCTTGCTAGGTTACTAACGAATCGTTTCGACCAACAAACAATTGCTGATGCCTGCCGATCAGGCACAAGTCGTGCCTATGACCCGGTTCGTGACACATAAGGTGCTCAAGGGACACTGAACGTCTGCTTCGGTCACATGGGCAATGGACAGGATTCTACTGCGAACGATTTTGCGATACCTCGCACAATTGAGCAATCCCCAATTATTACGTGACTTTCGTTATTGGGGGCACTTTGGTCTCAGTACGCGGATTCGCCTTGGAAGTATTCTTGATTATGATGCGGTATGGCAAGTTTGCGTTCATAGCTCATGTCACGAATCAGACCTCTATCATTTGTGATTTGTGTGCCTGGTACTGTTCCAGTGTCGGCGTGACTACGAGGATATGATACTCTGCCTGGGTTCAAGCGTCAAAGACTGGCTAATGGGTGCAGGCCAACGACTAAAACCAGTCGTTGCAATGCAACCCTAAAGTTGCGACCGAGTGTTCGGGCCGTCTCCCTACTTATGGTCAGCCTGCATTCCGCACTACAGCGTTGCATATTGGTGGAGAAGAATGCAGCGCTGAACTGGGATCGCCTCGCATATGGCGTGCTTTGGCACCTGTAGCTTTGAAACATTTCGACGTCGTTCATACCGCCGCCATAATGTGTGACACGACGCTGTGCAGTCTAGTTGGCAGTGCAGAGGTCGATTTTCATTGGGTTTGTGGAGATCACGTCTGGTTTCGTGGGTCAGCTTGTCGTTGATGTTGCACGCCATAGGCAGCTATTGCTAGAGATAGTGGCTGAAACACGTTCGCGGCGTCGTTTCTTCTTGCCAGGAATCGTAGGTACGTGAGACGTTCCTTGCTGGCACCTTGTAGGTGGCGTTCAACGTCTGTTCTTGATTCTGTATCGAGACAACATGATGAACGAGCAGGTCGTTGTCTTCCAGCCTTTTGCTTTCCGAGCGAGAGCTCCTGCTGCGTTTTCCGTTCAACCTCCCTCTGCTTGACCTTTGCCAAGCTGATAGAAAAAACTTAAGGAATTGTCATGCCAGGAAACAGAAGGATGTAGGATTGCATCCAGGAATATATGCTGTCAGATGATTCAGAGATGCGCCAGCAAGGATTGTTCATGCAACCAAGAGCTTCCTAGGCCTAAAATCCCCCCAGCGTACCGAGAATCCATCGTATTGGAACTACAGCATTCCGTTCGGTCCTTCGAACAGTTGGTACATCTTCTAATGAGGCACTGTAGAAATCCTTGGTATTGAACTGATTTCCACTATATGGCGATCAAACTCAGAGTAATAGCAGATCGCTTTGGTCGAACGTGAGGACAACCATGCTACCATGCGTAGTTATTGAGTACAATGGATAGCACTCTGTCGTAAGAACCTCACCTGTTCGTTTAATTTCAAATTTTCATTCCTTAATGCGCATAAAATCTAAACTGCTTCATCCCATTGTGCAGTGCCGCCCTTCAAACTGCCTGTGTCTTTGCTCTCGCCCTTTTCGCCTACTAGTCTAGGACACTTGGAAGTTCTACACCACCTTCTAATTCATAACAACTACCCTAATGCCTTAATTTTCTCAATTGCAAGAGTAGTTACATTTCCCGGGCCTTTTATGTATTTCTAAGACAGATCTTAAACTTGTATCAGCAGGTCAGACAAGGGAACTTGTCTGTGCTACCTTTGTTTCGTTCATGCCGCTTATCTTGACCTTGTGTTTTTTGGGGCTTCTCTCCGGTATCTCATACGAATGGAATTAGGGGTACGATCTGGAAACAAAGGATAGATTTGCGGCCAGCTACCCCCTTGCTGTACTAAGGCACATAATCTTTCAACATCCTTTGGTTTCCAATTCCTAGAATCGACGACTCCATGTTGTTCTCTCTTATGTTGTTTTAGGTTGTCCGAACGGAAATACTCTTTTTTGCAGCCTTCAATCAAGCAGCGGAATTTTTGTTCAAGATGTCTTCTCAGATGTCTGTTTAAGTTGCTCCTGTTGGAAAACGATCTATTTTTGCAGGCTTCGAAAGAGCACTGGTGACACTCTTGTTGATTACCTGGTATGGATGTTGGAGCAGTCGAGGACATCGGAGCAGTCGAGGACATCGGAGCAGTCAACGTTGGAACGGTCGCTGTCAGAGCAGTTGAGGATGTCGGAACGATCCAAGACGCTGGAGCGATCCAGGGCGCCGGAGCATTTGCTGTTGGAGCAGTTGCTGTTGGAGCAGTTGCTGTTGGAGCAGTTGCTGTTGGAGCAGTTGTTGGAGCGGTCGCTGAGGTCGAGGACGTTGGAGCAGTCGAGTACGTCGTCGCATTCGAGAAAATCGGAAAAGCCGAGGACGCCGTTGCATTTGGGGATAGAACATCCACCTGGTTATGTGAGTAGGTGAGTGACTCTTCTTTTCCATTTGATGCGGTCGAGGGAATTGGTGCGGTCGAGAAAGAGTTGTTTGAGGATATATCCTCAACAGGTTCGGAGTTCAAAAGAGCGGCAAATGAGAGACTCATTGTGTGCAGTGCAGAAGAGAGCAGAGCAGAGCCAAGCCGAGCAGTGTGACGATCAACGGCTATTTGAAGTTTATGCATCATGTCTAGCGATAGGTCTTTTCTTCAACGGATACTGCTTGTAGCATCATGTATTGGTTGACTCTGTGCAACGTTCTAGTAATGCAGACCCCTGCCCATACTTTTTGCCACACACTTATGTCTGCGAGGTCATGTTGGAGCACCTCTCGGTCTGCAGTCCTTCGCAACCTCGAGTTGGCATTCCTGCTGCTCGCGCTCCGAGTCGCCACTTCTGGGTTATCGATGAATTGAGTTGGCCTTTGACATGCTCAATATATACGGAATCGATCATATGTTCGGAGGCATGTTCGGCAGGGACAAATTCGGTGGACTGAATCTCGTATCCTGCGTGGTTAAGTTAAGAGTTGTAATCAAATAACTTATCAAGGCACCTTACCTTGTAGTGCAGGAAATTCTGTCTGCGCCTCGATGTCCGGGTTCATGTATCCTGAATATGGATTCACGTGAATTTGAATCTCACTTTGTTCGTCGACATCCTTTCCCAAGTGACATGTTTGATGGTGTGCAATAGTGCAATAGATGTTTAAAACGCGCAGAAATAGATCCAGCATGGAGGCTATTAATCCGCTAAGATATCGGCGCATCCTGCAAACCAGCAATGGACCTGGAAAAGCATAATGTATCAGCTGGGAAGAAACAGCTCTGTAGCATGATTGGCGCGTTTAAGAGTGACCACGCGGGACGCATTGGGTCCTGATTTTCCATCGGCATCAACGGGACGTGCCCTCGTTTCAGATCTTAGCTTACCCCGCTTTTGTTCACCAACACATTCCTCAGCATGGAGGTACTCCAGAGCGATAAGGCTCCTGATGTACAGAAGCTCGCATGTATGAACAATGAACAGTGGGCTCGTTTCGCTGTAAGTATACCCTTTTGCACGCAAGGCGCGCCTAACTGAGAATAGAAAATTGCACACGAGGAAGGGCAGAAGTTATGTAACTGTTATAGAAAATCAGTATCTTGGCCAGATGTACCTTACAACGAAAGTGAAAAGATCTTCACCAATATCAATGCAAGATTAGAGAGTGAAGGTATTCCGATGATAACACGAAGCATCCTTCGGTGGCGCATGAGGACTACCCTAAGAAAGATACGTATGTATGTGCATCTCACCTGCAAGCCTCTTCTAAAATGGTACAGGACCCAATAATAGTGTTACAGTGGCAACCCTGCCGTACAACCCAACGCGCCCCTGTTAGTTGAACATTGCTAAGGGCACATAAGTTTTGGGAGGACGGCGTCTACTCCTTTGCTACGCGTCATTATCTGCATCGTCCATTCTCTAAGCGAAGTAGTCCTATTGCAGAAGCTGTTGGTGGCATCAGGGAGGGCCATGTCATGCAATCAACCTGATGAAGATGCCGTGTGTCACTGCCCACCACGCTCCAGGGTGACGGTGGATGGAAATCTAGTGTGCTGCCATCACTGCAGCTGTCCGACATGCCAGCCCCGTTGTCGGAGAAGTGTTGTTTCTTTCCGCGTGGTATATCCTTCTCACGATATTTTGCTGGTTTGGAACATCTGCTCCGGTAGCAGACAAGGGGAAGAGTTGGGCAAACGCTACGGACGGACTAAGTGGTTGGTTTCAACATTCTAGAAATATTTGTCTATTAATACACTCCTTTTACGTTCAATAGCAGCATGGAAAAAATGCCGAGGCACGTAAGTTGCTACGAAAGGTATCGGCGAGGTGTTGAGTAGGAAGTGCAAATATGACGTCCTCGAACTGGTTCAGAAATTCAGCAAGAAGATCACGCCAGAGTTTCGAGACTGTAGTAGCGGGAACCTGTTCGCTGACACCAAACATTCCAATTACAAGGTTCTTCTGACAATGCTTCAAAGCAACCTTTAATGCTAATCTCATCTGCTCACGCAGCTCACAGGGCTCTCGTTTAACAGAGCTGAACAAGATGACTGGAGGATCAGCTCCACCTGTTCATTTCAGTAGGATATCACCAAGAAAACGATATTAACATACGAATTGACGGGATATATGCGTGTCCACGGTGAAGAGTGCTGGGAATGCGGCCTTCAACTATAAGGACCGGATTAATCCCAGAATGGCAATGACCCGCTGCGATCTGGATCATGTCACCTTCGAGAACGGCAGTGCGGAACCCCCGGGTTTTCGTGACAACGTCGGGTCTTTCAGGAAGGTGATGTTTTTTGACCGGAGGGGGGGATTCCCTTGGGAGATCCAGTTGAGTACGCTTGGAACGACGAGCATCCTGAATGCGCTTGGAACGACGAGCATCCTGAATGCGCTTGGAACGACGAGCATCCTGAATGCGCTTGGAACGACGAACATTCTCTGTCAGCATGGTGCGTGGAAGTGCTAGTAGGTAAGAAAAGGGATTAGACTGTCTGAATCTAAATCAGCGTTGCTTTGTTTCTTATATTTTATTTATTTTCTTTTTCAGAAGCACGTCGTTACTACATAGTTTATGTCTTCGACGAAAAGGGTAGTATGTAATTAACCGGTCTAACTTCTGAGCGAAGCCTAGCATGGTGGCGAGCATTAGCGTGGAACAACATGCTGTCGTGCCCCAAACCGATCAGATGTTGTTGAAGTCGGCGTAGTGGAGAACGAGGAAGCAGCTTCGATCCTCCGTCAGTTGGTGGATGCCTGGCAACCCAGGGTGGATGCCCCTAGTGAGGGCGTCCTATAGGCATGACAAGGCACTGCTAGCTTTAAAAGCAGCCATTGCCTGTCTCTATCTCTGAGGATTTCTGTTTCTACTTCAGCTCAGCTTCGTTCGGTCATTCGTCCTTCTCGTCGTTTTTGCCCTCCCGCCAACTGTGCTATCATCTAAATCATCTTGAGACTACCTTCAGCCATTGATCGAGCTATTGACAATACTCCCAATTATCCTATCCAAATTAGTCGGTGTCCCGATCTCACCGCATATAAAAGATCCCCGGCCAACCACCCGTCGATCTGATCTCGATTTTGCAACGAGTCTATCTGGAAACGACGAGGCTCAACGTTCTTACCTCTCCTTGATTGAGCCGAGCCAGCAAGCAAAATGACCCGGCCGCCCAAAGGAGCTCAAGGACGTTACCAACTCAGAAGTAGTAAGGGCAGCAGCGCAAATCCTTTTGTATTCACAGAAGAAGAGACAGATAAACAAGTTAGTGGGTCTAATTCTTTCAAAAATCCCACTCTCGGCTTGTCAAACAGCTTCATCCATTTCTTGTTCCTGTGCTAATCTTGCATTATTCTACAGAAGCTTATCAAACCTAGCCCTTCTATACACAAAGATAACGATGAGGTTGAGCCTACTACTGTTGGCTACATCTATGATGTGGACGGCAAGTACGTATTTAAGTGCGTTGATTGTATTAGGCGTCCTGTCAGCGAGAAGTCCCTGCCTGACACAGGTGTCAAATCAAAATCAGCACGAGATGTTGAGTGTAGGTACATTCACATACTTGAATAGTCGCTCTACTAACAATATAGTCTTAGTGCTTGGATCTAGTCTACACGCTCCCTTAACAGTTCAAGAGCTTTCTAACGGAGCACAACGCAAGCAGGCAGTCAAGCGCTCTCGATCAACAGCAAATCTCAACAATTCTACCTCAACATTCTACATTGCTAATGTTGATGCGTTGCAATCCTTCTATAAGACACGTTTAGGCCAGCTCCCGGCTAGAGCTCTTCGAAAAATCGTAACTCAATGGATTGCTATCATTCGCCCAAGGCGAAGAACGTATGGAAGGTATTCGAAGAAGCAATTTCCTAGCGAACTCCGTAAGGATCAATGCCCACCCTGGTGGCCAAAGGATGTCTACTATGAGGACCCTTTCCACCTAGAGCGTGATTGTAAGGCCCTTCCAGTCTCAATCTTATCTTATGTTTCCTGACTCTCCCCCTTTTTATACAGATGTGATAAAGCTAGGCACTCACATAATGCTACTACATCGTCACACCAACAACGAGACTGGTGAGCGACGTGTTGACTGGATTCAGGGACTGGGGGCGGTCGCTGATCACATCATCGACGTTTCTAGTCGGAATGGCCTTTCTGCTGCATTGAAGTCTAGAGCACTTAATACCTTATCAGACTTGTTAGACACAGCACAGTCCCACGAAAATCACGTCGCCACCTACGAACTCTACGACGACAAGGTTAACGAAGACCCCGAATCTCTACGCGGCAAAAAACATACGTGGGCGTTGATTCCGTCACTTCAGCACACGCCTGGAGAGAATAAGCGTCCTCGATTTGAGAGTGATTCAGCATCGGCAGTGCAAAGTCGCCCACCATCGCGTATGTCGAGTATTCCCCAATCTCGTGTTATTAGGGATTTGGAAACCCCCGCCCAAAGGCATTTAACGGCGCCGTTGCCTGCTGCACAACAACAAGTATCAGGTCCTGCTCCTTCATCACTCTTAACGTTAGTCGCAGCCTATCCAGCCGCGATTACCCCCCCGTCCACCTTCCAGAATTTCGAGATTCCCGTCAGCCAGCCATTTCATGAACTTTCGGTGCCACTTCCATATTCAGACATGAACAATCTGCAGTCACTCCAGGAATCCGTTCAAAACCCCATGATGCTCGAATGGCCTGCCGCCAATCATTATATCTTCCAAACGTCCATGCACCAGATGCCTCAGCAATGGGAGGATCTAGAGTTTAACGGTCAATAAGCTCAAATGGCGAGAGACAGGTAGGTTATATAGCATGGCAGACGGAATTAAGAGCCGGCGTAAAGGCCGGATACTGGCTGAGAAGAGATAGAACATTCTCAAATATGAACCAAAGCTCAAAGAGGCCGCAGGATTTCGGACTTTTCAATTATGACACAAAAATCCTACCAATCTTGACGAGTGCGGTGAAGATGTGACGTCTTGTTGTTAATTTGATGTGCCTCGGGAGTGAGACCAAAACATTTCGCCGAAATTCCAAGAACTTAGTTGCTTGCGCAGCAAGCCTAACCATGATCACTCCTGTACCGTTAAAAATGTTGAAAATGGCAGCATCGCCACGCTCGAGGTTAACTTCTCCCTTTATGCCTCGTGGCCCGACCGATGATTACTTTGTATGTATGATTTGTGACGTGTCTCGGGCGTCCCATTGTAGGATATCCCCTGAACAAGATTTCTACCGGTACAACCCGATTAATGCACCAGAAGAGGTATCGTGCAACTTGCAGGTAGGGGATGCGTTGCGTCTCCTTTGATAATGAGATGTCTTCTGTCGGCAGCGACTGTCGACCAACTCCAGCACCTCGGTAGTCAGGCATCTCGAATATCTCGGGCGTTCGTGGCTCTTCGTGACCGACCCGAGCAAATGTGTATGTCCGACACTGAATTTCTAATGGATGGACTGGATTGGCGCTGAAAGACGGGGATTCGGGTATTGGTCCCAATCTCAAAGAAAAATTAGAGTGTAATCAAAAACGTTTACATGGAGCCGTGCTTTAAGCTAGACTAGTTTTGGGGCAGGTTTCAGTTTCACGCATGTGTCGGGTCCACAGGATCATGATTTCTTCTGGAAAGATGCGCCACACAAGGCCTGTTCGCTATCGATCGTGGAGGGTGGGACGGGAGTAGCCTTATAGGCAGGGGGTCTGCATCACTAGATCCCTGCCGAACCAATACGTATAAGTGATATGATGCTACAGCTTCCTATAAGTCTCTATTGAAGCGAAGACCTATCATTGTTAGACATAATACTCCGCACATACTTGATATACTTCTCAACCCTGAACCCGCTACATCCTCAAACAACTTTTCCTCGTCTTCTCTTCTACTGCACCAACTTCCCTTAGGACCGACGTCCTCAACCGCACTAGCTTCCCTCACTTTTGATGCGGAGGAGCGTGCAAGAGAGTGACAGCGTAATGGGGAAATCTGCGTTCAGAACTGGATGTCGCCCTCAATATTCTCTGATCAACATTGCCCGCCAACTTGCTCGACTGCACCAACTTCCTTCACATCGCCAACCTCCCTAGACGTGCTAGCTTCCGTATCATTAGCCGCACTCGATCCCTCTAGTATACCCGCTTCCTTCACATCGCCAACCTCCCTAGACGTGCTGGCTTCCGTATCATTAGCCGCACTCGATCCCTCTAGTATACCCGCTTCCTTAACATCACCAGTTTTCTTACCTGCGCCCTTGAAAGCACTACCAGTTCCATCGACTACGACTGCTTTTTCAACCGTGACAGAACTACCAACTTCCTCTGCCGCAACTTCCCTCAGCCTGGTTGACGCGGATCGTGCCCAGAATTGGGTGTCGCCTTTGGTATCCTCCGGTCAGCATCAAGAGCCAGAGTCTCACATTCGTGAAGATAATTTGGACACGTAAGATTCCTTTAAGCTGCTCATCCATGAGAAACTGACGCTTCAGGTATCCGACAATATCGAAACGTTGTAAAAGCAAAAGGCACTTCTGTTCAATGGGGGATTGCGAGAGGAGACCATTATCAAGCAAAAGTGCTCTCAAAAAGGATCAAATAGACCTCCATTCCCAACGGCAGAAAACTAAACCGAGATGGCGACTACAAGACGAAGAACTTCTCTGGGACCTACGCAAGAAGAGAATTAGCTGGAACACTATACAAACACACTTTCCAGGCCGTTCACTATGCTCGGTTGAGCATAAATATCGAGTTATGAAGGCTAAACAACGATCAAACGACCCTTCTTCGACCATGAGCATCACGAATGATGGCCTTTCCTCAGATAACTCTTCTTTAACCAGAAGAATCACGACTAATGGACTGTTTCGGACCGCACCCTCAACTGCACTACCAATCTCCTTGGCCGCACCGAATTTCTCAACCGCATCAACTTCCTCATGCCCGACAGTTCCTTCAACTGCACTCTCAACTGCACTGTCGACTGCACCCTCAACCGCACCCTCAACTGCACCCTCAACTGCACCCTCGACCGCACCCTCAACCACCCTGGACCGCACCCTCAATCACACCCTGGACCGTACCCTGGACCGCACCCTCGACCGCACCAGTCCCCTCTCAATCAATTGGATATCAACAACGCAGCGACAGTTTCGAGCATCCACGTAGGATTAAACCGTTCAAATGTACCCACTGTGATAATCGCTACAAGTTTATCTCGGATAGAAACCGCCATGAACGTCGCCATGCCCAAATACCATTTCTCTGTCCACGCACAGATTGTGGGCGTAGCAAGGTCGGATTTCTAGATGACAGAGACTTTACCTACCATATGGAAGCACATGAACGAGGAAACTCAGCTTGCATTGGTTGGACAAAAGAAGAAATGCAAACTTTAAAGGACCTTAAAAGGCAGAAACTAAGTTACGAGGCTATTCGTGAGAGCTTGCCAACTCGTACAGTAGTAGCACTTAAGCACCGTTGGAGGTCAAGAGCCACATGGGAGTCAGAACTGGAGGATTCTAAGTCGTCAACGTTCGTTATAATCTCATCAACTTTTTCTGGTACATGTTTGCCGATGCTCTGCTGTTGCTTCGTGACCTAGCACATTCGCCTTAGGTAGATTGATGCACGCTGTGCTTCGGCGCTTCCGAGTACTGGCAAGGCACTTCAGGGAATCCGCAATCTTACAGACGTAGCTAATGTTGTCTCGATATAGACTCAAGAACAAACGTTAAACGCCACCTGCAAGGTGCCAGCAAGAAACTTCTTACACTAGGAGCTAAAGTCCAGCCCGATTCCTAGCGAGAAGAAACGACGCTACAAACGTGTTTTAAAGCAGCAAGCTACTATCTCTAGTAAGATCTGCCTCAATCGTACAATATCACATCGAAACCAGACGCGACCTCTGCACCGCGAACCAGACTGCAGGCTAAAATTACTTATAGTATAGACAGACATACCTGCCTTCAAAAACTCCTACTGATTGTCGCCAGTGTAACCTAGCACCTACTCTGCCTTGTCATATCTACAGTTATTAATGTACGAGTAGAGCCGTGCTTTCGTTCGTCCCTTGCAAGCTGAACCAAAACCAAAGAACAACGGGAGACGGGCCGCCTCTTGGCGATAACCGACAACCAGCTAGCCTTCTTGGCTTGAAACGGCAGTGGCTTTGTTGTAGCAGGCTTGGGCCTTGTCGGATCCTCTTTTCGACATCCTCCAAATGCTGGACGGGTCGACGTTAATTGGATCAGGCAACTGGTGGACCAGGTGACAAGGCGATCACCCAGGCTCTTGAGTGGGCTATAAAGAAGGAAGCATCATCTTCCATCCGTTATGGAGCTCAAACTGGATCCGAAAGCACCACGAACGCCGCCTCCTTCTTCTGTTGATATCAATTGCATTGACTCTACACCATCCACCACCTAGTCACCATCAACCACATCTCTATCATGCTTCTGGGTACTCTCAGCTGCCTGTATATGAATACTCTCACCCACCTGTCCCTGGGTTTGAATACTCTCACCCACCCGACCCTGAGTATGAATACTCTAACCCACCTGACCCTGAGTATGAATACTCTCACTCTGCTCCTGGGAAAGGATACTCTCATCCACCTGCTCCTGGGTATGGATGCTCTCATCCACCTGCTCCTGGGTATGGATGCTCTCATCCACCTGCTCCTGGGTATGGGTACTCCCACCCACCTGCTCCCGGGTATGGATACTCTCACCCACCTACTCCTGGGCATGGGAGTCATCGCCTACCTACTCCTGGGCATGAATAACCTCACCCAACGGCCCATGGGTACTCCCATTCACCTGTTCCTGGTCATGGGATTCCTCTGGCACGTATTCCTGGATTGGCAATTCCTGAGAACGGTTCATCAAGTCCTGAGTTAACTTCTGAACAACTACATTATTCTTCCTAGACACCAAAACCTCATCATTCTTCTCGATCCCCACCACTACTACCCCCTCCTCGGGTAGTTCGCCCACAAAAATATCTTCTTCATTCTTCCAGACCACCATCATCACCATCGCCTCCTCCTCCTACTCAATCTTTCCCCCTCGTTCTCGCCTGCCACCTTGGGATCTATTCTGCAACTTTGGGGACTATTTTGACTTGATCTTTATTACGCGAGACCCTAACGAATCCACCAAGCGTTCTCATTTATATAAATTCCATAGATAGATCTTTATCATCAATCCACGATACAGTTATTTGCATCCAGCTTCCTTCCAGAAGATTACTTGTGACATCTTTGGCAACACACCTGCACAATAGTGATTGATTAACGTTCGACCTCTGGTCTCACCAGAACCCCTTCGAGGTCAGACACCTAAGTGCCCACTCAGGTGACCCCGTTACAGTAATACAATATACCTTAACCTATCTTAGAGAGCATGGATATGCTACTGTTAGAACTGAAGGAGGAGTAATGAGCCCTAACTTAATCTTACCAAATCCTAGCGTTAGCATTAGATAGCAAGGCAGCTGATGAGCGAATGGGTCGCAAACAGAGACGCGGAGGCGGCCAGGGTGTAGACTCGGCCTTGCGGTTCTCGTGAGACCTAAATATAACTCTCTCGAGATAGGTCTATTGGACGGGATGCTCTCTCACATCGCTGTGATTACTGCGTTAGCGTCACTACCCCGCCGGCGGTTCAAGAAAGAGACATTCATACACTAAACCCGATATGATGAACGAGTGGAACACGTTCCCCTCGATAATCAGTTTAGGCCTAGCGTAGTCTGCGTGATCAGCTCTCGACAATTCCAGCGCCTGGCCTCCGCAACTCAACCACAACACCCTCGCCTTACGAAATGGGCGCCGAAATTAGCCAGATCGTCAAGTCAGACCTTGAGGGCTCGACTTTGGAGGAACTGCTATCTAAGGAAGAGGTTTTACTTATAGCTTTCGGAGATATGAACTGTATCTAACGCGTAGGCAGTTTGTTCAGGTAATCCGGGAAGCTGTACCAGTGCTTGATCCGAAAATGTGCAAAACTTTGCGCAAAATTCTGCCCAAAGGTCCCCCCAAACAGCGCTCGAAACGGAACAAACAACCAAGATCTACGATCAAAGAGAGCACTTCATCTCAGGACACTGTCATAGGAGCATCGGCGCGAGAAGATGATCTACAAGAGGCCAGCGACGCATTTACTAAAGATGCTTCGTCCGGCGTCACCACAGTCTTATCGACTACATTGTTGGGTGCTGCCAAGGTCATGTCAAACACGTTGTTGGGCGTTGACACAGCCTTATCAACCACGTCTGACGTAGTCTCACCGACCATTTCATCCTTGCCGGGTGAGGAAGCCCCACCAGTTGCCGCCTCCAGGGACAATGAAAGAACTCAGTCCTTATGGGATGTCAAAGAAGACGAGGTTTCCCTACCTTCAGAGATTGCCGACTCATTTGAGAGCTGGAAAGCGGATCCTTCAGTGTTCTTTCGCGGTGACAGTTCGCAAGCTCCAATGTCCCTTACGGAGCACTACGATTACGCACTTTCTGTGCGTAGTTCTGCTATTTCCAACAAGATTCTATGGAGATTCATCACGACAGCATACTATGACGCTATCTCCGAGCGATCTCACTCAAGTAGATATTCCATCACTAAACAGGCGGTTGCGTTTGCGGCTGCTGCTATCTGCCAGTCATCTTCTTATACACGGGAAGTAGTCGAGGCGAATCTCATTAGTTGGGCGAGAGATGGAGCGAGGAACCGAGCTCTCGCTGATAAGTTAGGAAGTACTGGCTGCTACTTCTACTATCCACAATCTCTTAGTGAATGGATGTAAGTATATGCCTCCACAATGATCTCCTCATCTAATGGTTCTAGTTGGGTAAAGCACCTTCCTCTGAGTGCATACGACAAAGCCGCCAAACTGCTTAAGAAGTTCGGCATATTGGAGAAGGCCCAGGAATCAGGCGCGGTCGAACTTGCAAGGGGTATTGAGACGATTCTAAAGAGGCCTTTCCAGTCTACTATTCCAGTACAGTCACAAGGGGAATGGATTCTGCCAATTTCGCCACAGCAAACGACTACCATTGTGGGAGGTGCAGCACGTAAGTGTTATATTCATTGTACTATGTGCACTTCACTAACTAGTATAGCCCGTGAACACGCATCAAGACTTCAGAAGAGAGAATCGGAAACGGAGGCGTCCCCGAGAAAGCGCCAGAGGTCAGAGACGAGTACTTCGCAGAATCCATACCTTCCCCCGCCTCAGATACGCCAAGACCTCGTCTCCGGAGATGAACAAGCCACAGACACTTGCTCCCCAGCCTACGACAGCTTCGCTTCACCATCTAATACAACACGTAGTCAGAGCATCGATTCGAGCACATCAGCAACAACGGACAGCCAAAGTCCGGTGGATCATATCAACTATGAGCAAATCGATCAGCCTGCGGTGAGCGCACAAGATTCACCCTATTCGCACTACATCCACTCACTGCTATCGCTAATTTGCGCAGTAGGAGCTATCCCAAAAATCATGCTCCAGCGCGCACTATGTCCCCAGAAGAGATGGGATGAGTATGGTGTAGAATACCAGATTAATCCTCGCAACGCCCATCTTGAACCCCATCTCAGGCTTCTTTTCTTGGATTCCGATGGACTGTGGCAGGTTCTTCAGCATCTAGTATCGATTACAGCTGTTAATGTGGAGATAACTAACGACATGGAGGAGGTTTACTTCTGTAGCTCGACATACGCTGAGTATTTGAACAGCCAAAAAAGAAGTTATTGGGTCAAAGAAGCTCTTTGGTTGTTCTGCTATGTGTTTCCCCGCAATCCAACAACTCTGTAAGTTCATCAACTCATTACCGTGGGCTATACTCACTCACCAAATAAGGTCGGCTTCAGAAAGAGAAAGGCTATGGGCGGTGCTGGAGGTTTTGCTCAGCCTTTGTGCTGAAGTCGATTTAGAGATTCCAGCGAACGACGAAGTCGTCGAGACATTTTTGGCAGTAGCAAAAGTTGGACCATTGCCAAGACGACGTAGAATTCTCTCCGTGGTCGATCCGTTACTGAAAAAAACAAGGAAAGCAGATTTGCTGGCCGAAGGTGTCCACCAAAGGAGTGTGGTTCTACGTCTCAGAGGAGATATCGCCAGCTCAAATGAGCTCCTCAAGGAATTCTTAGACCGTGCAGACATAACCGCACAACTGAAATCGCACTCCATTCTCGGATTACTGCATCTATCTCAAGCGGCAAATGATACCTACAACCTAGACTTCTCGTCAGCCAGCAAACGAGCAAAGATGTGGATTCCTTCAAATATCGATGTCACAGAAAAGCAGCTTGATGTAGTATGGAACCAGATCCATTGCGCTGGTCGAATACTAAGAGGACAAGGCCAATTTGAAACTGCATCTGTTTTTTTCGAACGCTGCCTCCATATGGAACCTCTTCGCAAATCGAAGCGACATTTAGCTATGTCTCACCTTGCGGATACCTACGTTGAGGTAGATTATCTACGCCGACAGAATAGCATTTCACCCTATGCAGGAGAGCTGCTCAGCAAAGCTCAAAGATTGATCAAAACGGAAATCGAGTCTCTGAGATCTCACCCACAAGCAACGCAACGTTCAAAAGGATTCCGACGTTTACTTCTTTCTCTGACCGAGATCGAGATCAGGGAAAACCGCTTTGACGAAGCCCATCGACTACTTATGGAACTTTGTGACATTTATGGGGAACTAGTTGATCCAGACATCATCGATCGGCATGGTCATCTTCGAGCATTCATCTCATTAGCACGGATTTCATCTCCGCCCGATGCAGAAAGCAGCTGGACTACCGCTTTGAATCTTGGTAGAAAGTACTATCCACTTGAAGAAGAGGTCTTTGTCGTTGCATTAATGCATCTTTTCATTTGTACTGCACGCGTTGTAGGAGGGGATATGGAAGGGGGAAAAGCTGCGTTCGATTATGCAGCGGAAATATGCCACAGCAAATCTCCGCAGTTCGTGATGCCAGGGCTTGGTACGTACTTATTTGACGATGTGCAATGTCAGATACAGTCACTTGTTGGGTGGGAATTACCTCCTTGTAATTAATTCACTGGAAATCAAGTCACGACTTTGTGCATAAAGAGGTTACAAGGTGGTAGAGTGAACAGGCTTCTACGGAGGCTCAACTTTAGTGGATAGCACCGCCACGATGGAGGGGCGGGGTTAATGGGCAACTGCCTTGTTCTTCGCTGCCCACCTGCCCTAGTCCACCCTACGAGGATCTACCGGTTAAGCTTCGGAGCAACGCCCAGCCCAGCCCCACCATTTTTCTCCACCACCACTTCCAAAGAGACAAACCCTCGGCAATCTCTCGGCCACTGTTGATATATCACCTTATATCCTCTCCATGAAATCGTCGCGTAAATCGGTCGCATTCGTTCTTCAGCCACAAATCCGGACCGTCGCACGAAGGCCACGGAGGAGAGTCAACATGGAGAAGACGGTTTATGAAGCATTCCACACTGATGAAGGGATCACGGATGAGTTGCTCCAGGAAGCAGCAAAGCTCTTCTCTGAGAACTACGGAATCTGGGGTAAACAGGCACCGGAAAAGGTGGGGAAATTCGCGAAAGCAGGTAGGTCTGCATAGAGAAGATTGTACCGCTCGAACTGACCTTCTGATCTCTAGATGCTCCGGTTCGGCTGAGCAAAAGCAAACTCCGAAACGAATACCTTCCTAGTGGCATCTCCTCATATACCAGAGTCTTCGTCGATGGTACTCTTGCTGGTAATGCTCTGGCGTGTCGTTGGTCTGTTGGTGGTAAGACCATTTGCTGGGTTACTCAATTAGTCGTTCATCGCGATTATCGGGAACGTGGGCTTGCACGTGGACTACTCGATCAGATCAATCGAGACGGGAGTGATATTTATGGCGTTATTAGCTCTCATCCAGCTGCTTGTCTAGCTGCCGCGAGAGCTTTCGGAAGTGAGTTTTCATCATGCTGGCGTTGTCGCCTAATTCGATCCTAATCTCTATCAGACTCCATCGATAATATCTCACTTGATTTCATGAAAGCCCATGCAGAGTCGATAATGAATGTGTCCCCAGTGGAGTATGTTCGGGATGCTAAGCTAGCAGGCAGCCTTTTTGATTCCAAAGATACCACCGGTCGTGTCTGTTGTGTCGACTCTGGATTCTTCGTTGATCACCGCGAGCCGCTTGAGGCGTTGGCGTGGGTGCGGGATACAATGGAGTGGCCGTTGGGTGACCTATTTGATGGTCATGAATATCTCCTTATCCTTGAAGCCAGGCGTCGGTCCCGCTCACGGTCTAATTCAGGGCGCCGGAATGTTGCGGCTTGAGCCGAGAGGTTACGGGGCAGGTGGTTTTAATTGGATGTTCTCACATCAACATTCAAATAATCCATAGTATGAACTGGTCGATATTCTACTTCTTTCCTGTCTGTCTGTTTTGGCGCTCCCAGAGCTCAAAGTACTCCCCTTTCCTTTCAATTAGCTCCTGATGTGTGCCTCTTTCAACAATATCACCATCTTTGACGAAAAGAATTAAGTCCGCATCAACGATAGTAGATAGCCGATGGGCCACAACAAACAATGTCCGTCCAGATCGAAGCTTTTGGAAAGCCTCCTGAACCTCCGCCTCTGTTGATGAGTCCATGGCGCTTGTTGCCTCATCGAGGAGGATGATCTTTGACTTCTTCTTCAATAGCAGTTGTGCGATTGCTAGGCGTTGGAGTTCGCCGCCCGAGAGCTTCACACCTCGTTCACCGACTTTAGTGTTGTAGTGATCAGGATGTGACATGATATCTTCGTGAAGCGCCGCACTTTTACACGCATCAAAAGCCTCCTCGTCTGTTGCATCTGGCTCTGAATATCGAACATTCTCGAGGATTGTTCGATTGAATAGGGAAGGATTTTGGGGGACGACGCCGACAACATTCCGTAAGCTTTGAAGACTAATGTTGCGCACGTCTTGATTGTTAATGAAGATAGATCCGCCTGTTACATCATAGTGCCGACAGAGCAGTTTGAGTATCGTCGATTTTCCACTTCCTGTCTTACCAACAAAGGCAACCATCTCGCCAGGCGAAGCCCCAAAGTTGATACCATTGAGAATCTTCTTTCCTGTTGGACCGTAGGAAAACTCAACGTTGCGAAATTCGACCTTCCCAGCGTATGAGCCGAGCTTGTATGAGTCAGGTCGATCGGAAATTGACGGTTTCATGAGTATCAGCTGTAAAAGGCGTTCTGCATCAATGAAAATCGATGTCATATTGGAATGAGACCATGCTATCATCTCAAGTGGATACGTCATCGTTGTCCAGAAGGTTCCAAGTGTGACGAAATCTCCAGCGGAGGCCTCTCCAGAAGAAATTTTTCGTATTGCAAGGAGTGAGGCGCTGAGCAAACCTAGAAACATGATCATTGTCTCGACTGCATTGCCTGAATTCATTCGGTTTCGGTACGCTTGTTTTGCAACGAGTGAATCCTGAACGGCTCCCATGTAACGTTGTTCCTCATATGCAAGGCGATTGAAGTATGTGACTGTCTGCCAGCCTCCCAGAGACTCGTTGACTACATTGCTCTCAGTACGCGATCTCTCCTTGTAGATTCGTCGCAGTGGCTGTGTCCAGTTCTTGATCTTGATTGTGATACACACATATGAAATGCCAACGAGAAAGGTCGTAAAGGCTACATATCCGTCAAATAGAGAAGTAATGTAGCATATAGCAACGACAAGATCAACAACAACTGGGGGTATGTCAAGAAGGAGCAGCTTTGCGAGATCTCCAATGGATTTTCCTTGTTCAACAGCTTTGATAATCTCGGCAGAGTCCTTGTTGCTGTGGAAATCCATAGAAAGTGTCATTACATGCTTGAAGGCAAGACGGCAAATTTCTTGGTACGAAAAGTTCCGAACTTCCAGCAGAGCCATGCTTTTGATAACTCCTAGCGGTCCAGCAGTATTCTTGAGCCAAGAGAAGAGAACCCAGATTCCGACCTCGTAACAAGCCATATCGAAGTCGTGGGCAATAAGCTTATCGGTGATAACTCCAAGCTGTCTAGGCGTCAATACTCTGAGGAATCTGTTGATCACGAGGTCAAGGATTAGAACTACCAGGCATAGTTTCCCTCGAATGCTTCCGGTTGGCCAGAGACACGGTAGAAAAATTCGAAACTCTTTGATATAGGCAAACCAACCTTGCTTTTCTAACCGCTTGCGTTGGTGCATTTTGATTAGCGCATCGCCGTTCTCAGTATCATTTTGACAGCTTGGTGTTGATCCATAGACTGCTCGTTCGGTCGGTTCACATTCGAGGAGCCACTGGTTTTCTGCATCATTTCGAGTCTTCGTGGGTCGACAGATGACATTTGCATTGAGCCCGAGCGCAATGCTACATTTGATTTTGCAGACCTGTAATGCAAACAGAGCGATGCCGTGGCGACTTTTTTCTGACTGGAAAAATAAGACTGACTCCAGAATGCAGAGAATTGCCTCGAAAAGACAGCTTAAAATCCAAGATCGATGATATTTGGGCCATGCAGGCTCGGACGTGTCCAGAAGATCTAGGTCCAAAGCTCCCCATAATAGGCTTGACGCCATTACATGTAGAAGACTGTGATGAGATGGCCACCAACCCTGCTGCGTGGCGGAGCGGTACAGAAATACCACGGTTTGCGAAATATAGGTCAAAGCCAACAAAAACATCAGGCAGAGGGCGGTGCATTTCTTCTGGTGAGTGCATTCTTTTTGCACCCCATTAACCGGCGTAGTCTTCGAGTGCGGTAGAGGAATAAAACACGATATGATGATGGCGAGAGGATGCAAATAATGGATGACTTTCAACGCCATGCCAACAAAAATGGAGTTGATGTCCATTTTGTTGATTTTGTCGTTTTTTGTCGTTTATTTTCTTGTTATGAAGGAGAGGTTGGCGTATCAATTGAAGTGCAACAACCGGGAGTATGGGCTAATTTAATAAAGTGCCTGAATTTACACCAGTGGCAATGCTATACCATTTGCATGGTAGGAAACTTGACAAACACTCATGTTGATTACAGAGACCTCACAGTAATAATGGGCTCCGGATGGTAATTCTTTGCGAAGTTGTAATGGGCTGGGGATTGTATAAGGATTGCATTGGCTAGAGGTGGCCTTGGAAGGGGCATTGACGCTAAACCAGCATGATGAAGGAGTGGAACATGTTCCTTTCGATGATCAGTTTAGGTCTAGCGTGAATGGCATGTTTGTTCCAATTGAGGCGGACTGCTGGCAGGGCACTGACCAACCACATCGGCCGTCCTGCAACTCTTTTGTCCGGTCGTTTGGCGATGGTAAATCACGGGAAATCGCCAAGTGCCACAGCAGTCGCTATATGCACGATGCCTCCTGACATTAAGGTAGTCAGCCGGGTGCGCTATCTTCTGCAGGACAGGATAATAGTCACACTTAGTCTAAGCCTACGAGAACATGTAAAGCTATTTCTTTTACAGACGTATGTAGTCACCGCTTCTCTTTCTACGTAAAAACAGTTTTGTCTCTGTCGTTCTACTGCCGTGGACAATGCAACCGCTTACAAATTTAAGTAAACTTCTTCAACTTGAGGATAAGAATGGGGTTCCTGTGGTAGCACAGTGAGTAGGATGCATGAAATTGGCTGTCAGCTAAGAAACAAGGATTCGTGCCGATACCATCTATAAGTTTATGAGGGTGTCGCGTATCTAAACACCGTGTATACTTAATTAGTCCAACCCTAGCTTTACTATGGACCACAACTCTCACCTATTTACAGACTGTGGCGAGGATGATGGGCTTAACCTAGTATGTTCCAGCTGCAGCGTTTCTACAACTTCTATAATAACCTCTATAAGGAACAACAAATTCAGGCCAACAAAAGACGCGAGGATTGGATACAGGAAATATATAACGAAAACATCAGGCTTCAGCAAGATATAGCCAGGCTTAAGACAGATAAAGCTAAAGTTGAACAGCAGCTTGCTAAGCTGCAGGAAAATGGTCTCAAATGGAGAGGAGAGTACATTGAGTTGAACTTGAAGATGGGTCAGTATGAAACTGTAATGCGAATGTGCTACACTTGCGGACAAAAGGTAATCTAACCTCCTATTTTGCTATTATATACATGCTAAATCATCAGCTTCGTGAAATCAACTCAGATAAAACCTAAGCAGTGCACCAAGGGAGGCCTAGTTGCGGGGAAGTAACGTATGGCCGTTTCGATGCGCAGCTTTGATCGGACGACCTGTTCACGATACCCAATTGTGCCAACAAGTGAGCGGCGGCAAACACGAGCATACGGGGTGGTGAAACAGGAGAACATCTTTTGTCCGACGAACAAGAGTTACATTAATCTTTGGTGTCCTTTTGTATCTATTCACGGAACATGGAATCAATCTTGCAAGCATTGATCATATCAAAGGCAACGTTAAGTGACCCCCTAGTAACCTTTTGAAAGCAAAATCTGGCGTTTGTCCACACTGCAAGAAAGCAATCAGTTCCCGCGATATGGCAAAACATATAAAAGCTGAACTTCGCAAGAATGAGTGCTAGGATCACGGATGCAACGGATTGAGATTTTCAAGCTTTCGTAACTTTCAGAGGCACAAAGAGGAAAATAATGGCATTACATACCCTTGTCCAAACTGCACGAAATCGTTTATGCGGAAGTATGGTCGGGACTTTCATACAAGAACGTGCAAGGGGCAGTGAAGAGCAAAAGCCGGAAAGTGAATGGTATGGAGAGTTCGGGGCCGATCTCCGAGATAATGGGTACCGCAGATTAGCATCGGGTAGCGAGGTTAAGTTAATATAAATCTTCCAAGTGTCTCGGGGTGATAGTCGGGCAAGAGGCAGGACTTTGAAACGAAGGCATAGCATGGTAGGGTAAAGCAGTGCGGAGGTCTTGATTGAAATTAATTGAAACAAACATTGAAAAGCAGTTCAACAAAACAAAGTAAGGTTCTCAAAGCGATATATTTCCATCTATTGTTAAGTCATTCCAGTCCATATCCGGCGAGCAACATATGCACCACGTTCTATACAACACGTCAATCTCAATCGTCGGACGAATCATAATCGGCGTGGGAAATAGAGCTCCTTGATTAAGCGGAATATAACTCTGACGTGACAACAATGCTTGGGAAAAAGTACACGTTGAACTTTCTGCAACGGAATAGCGGACTCTAGAACAGACAACCTCTTTGCTTTGGTGCCGGAAAGTTGGAAGCGCGTCAGCCTTGAGTAGATTCTGGTGAGCACAAAGATGACGGCGCAGCCTTGTGCTTCAACAGGCGGCCTGATCACACTGTGATGAATGGAAGATAGTCTCCTTTGATTTTGTGACTTCTCTATACTCTTTCCATCTGTTGTCAACCCAAAATCTACACACGTGCCAGTGTTGTGGCTCCAACCGTTTCTCGACATGACCAGAGCCATGCATCACTGCGGGGATATCCCGTCTTCCTGTCGTCTTGCCGCTATCATGACTCTACCAGATCGGCCAATGAGACGATCATCTGTTGCCTCTCCCCGTCCCAGTTGTGCCACACCTAGACCAAGACTGAACTAGGTTTAGGGGAGGTTTCTTAAAAGAGTTTCACGCATGTGGAACCATGGCTAAGGATTCTAGTGGCTCAAACATGATAACCTCGTAGGGTAAATATGCAGCTCGATCCCCGGTATCAAGGCATTTTCTTTCCAGAGGCCGCCCTAGCCGCGTATTGAGAGAATTAGGGGAGACATGAGCAGGGATCTGCATTACTAGAATGCTGCAGAGTGGCCAGCCATGTAAGTAACATGACGCTTCCAGTGTGCATCTTGTAGTCTCCGATGGAGAAAAGACCTATCATAGCTAGGCATGATACTCATATCTCATAAATACATTGTCGAACTCTTCTGCTCTGATCTGATCTGCACTGCACACAATGCATGATTTCTCGATTGCCTCGCTTTTATGCGACGAGCCCAGTGCTGCGCTCTCCTCTGAGACTGTATCCTCAAGCAACTCTCCCGGAACCGTGACCGCAGTAAGTCTCTCAACCACGACAGCTTCCTCAAACAACCTGAATGATCGCTTGCGGAAACGGCAACCACGATTGTTGGAGACGCAAAACAACAAGGGGAGCTGGAAAGACATGCCTCAACACTTCCCAAGTCGCAACGACACATCTTTTTCAATCATGAGGACCTCAAATGATTCAACCGCACCAATTTTCTCATCTAAACTCCCAGCCGCACTCCAAACTACACTCCTAACTACTACACCCTCAACCAGACCATCAATTCCCCTACCCGCACCAATTTCCTCAACTAAATCCTTGACTACATGCTCAACCGCATCCTTGCCTGCATTACCGATTCCTTTGACCGCACAAATTTTCTCACTTGCGCCCTCGACACCACCAATTCCCTCAACCGCATCAATCCCCTCGACCGCATCAATCCCCTCGACCGCATCAATCCCCTCGACCGCATCAATCCCCTCGACC